AACTCTTGCTTGAAAGTAGAACTGGTGCTTATATAGACTGGCTAGATAATAACTTAACACGACTGATAACAATAACATAAATAAGGACTCACAATTAGCATTGCTTTCTGCAAAAAGGAAACCAGCAAACCGTGAAGCTTTGCATATCCCTTGGAGTCAAGAAATTATTCTCACTAGACGGATAACTCTTGCAAGTACATTGTGTACTCATGGTTTATTTACCCCTATTGCAGGTCACACTTGAGGAGTACCTTTGTGTGGAGGATTCTTCTGGTGGGCATAAACCGATCCTCGTTCTTTATCGCTAGTTGTTTATCTTAATTCCGCTGTTTATTATTATTCCACACTTTGACATTTGGTAATTTAATAATGTACTTTTTAAGAACTTCTGATGTATGAAATGGACAAGTATTGTAACTCGTTCTCATTATTGGATCCTTGGGAAAAATGTGGATCTTTTGGGTTCTCCCTTAGGGTGTGCCCGATGGATACCGACCATTGTAGTTCTCCCTTAGTGTCTGGTGGAAGACGAGCACCTCCAGAAGTATGCTATTCTAGACGGTTCTGCCATAACCAGACTATGATTACGATGGTTAACAGTTCTAAGGATAACATGAAGTCCATAAGGCATGTTAAGAGACGGCTAAAATCTGTCAGAAAATTGAGAAACTCCGGAGTAATAGCGTTGGACTATGTTCACACGTCTAACAATCTGGTAGATCAATTCACTAAGGGTTTGTCACGCATTGTGATAGAAAGTGCATCGAGAGAGATGAGTTTGAGACCCACATGAAATTTACTATAGTAGTAACATGTTCTATGTGATCGAAGATCCTGTGAAGTAGGATGGTGAAACATGCTAGTAGTAAATTATGAGGAAAGATCCTTAGTAAGACTCATTTCTGATGCACATCTTTCCTTTTTTGTAAGGTAGGTTGATTTTTACTTTAATGTGTTCCAAGTGGCTTGCTAAAGCAAAGATGTTGTCCTACAGAACATGTTTTGATGAACACACCTATATGAGTTAGACTGCTGGTCACAGTCTATGAGATTTGGGTGATCTATAAATACTCATGAAAGGCACTAGAGTATGACTTATATGCTTTAAATAGTGGGGATGTTGTTTACAGCCTAGTATCAACTAAGGACTTTAGTGACATTCACCTCACACAAAACTATCAATTCAAGGCTTAGTCCATTGTTCAGTTGTGACTGAGTGAAACTATTGCTCTAGATGGATGTTCAACTTAACAGTCTTCATCGAAACACTAGTATATAAAAGAAATGTGGTTCCGAGACTACTTTGTTACAAACCCTAGAGTTTGGTGGGGATTGTTGATATATTATGGGCTTGGCCCGTATAGTATTTAATAAATCAAATAAAACTCTATGGTCCGTAACATTAAGCGTTGTATGGTTTAATACCGTACGGGATTTTAACTGAATGTTGACTCAACTTATTTGGTTGAAAATTATCCATCTTAATTGAGAAGCTAAGAAAAGGACACAGGAGTGCCACACGCGCGCGCGCCGCCACCGCTGCCGCCGGCAGGGCCATGGGCGTGGGCGTGGGCGTGGGCCCAGCCGGGCCGAGGTCGTGGCCATGGGCGTGGCAGGTAGGCAGAGAGCGAGCGGACGGGCGGGAGTGGCCAGATTTTGCCACTTAATCCACATAATTACAGGAGTTTCTCTCTTTTATGGTGGAGGCGAGTTGATTGCGTCAGTTACCGTCTCTTCGTGTCTTCGTCTCCTGAGTTCCTCTCGCTGGCTTTCTCCCTCCCTGCCGCATGCATAAAAGGAAAAGTCCTCCATCAGTCCAATCTTCCCTTTGCTTCCGAGAGACCACATCTCAGAATCTCTTTGGTTTTCCCCGTCCCGTACCTCTGCGCGCACGGAGCAACGGAAGAGCATGTGCCTCTGGAACCCTCGTCCGCCTGTGAACCTTGCACGGGGTGTGCGGCGATTAGGTTTTTGGGGAGCGATTCCGTGACTGCTCGTCCACGTCGCAGATGTCTTCTTCCTGGAGATCGCTCGCGGAATAGCAAGGTGTCTTCTTCCTGGTGACCGTTCGTGGGACTGCACTGCGAACACCTTCCTGAATCGACTGTGGTCCACGACTTCGAGCAACGCACTGTCTGGTGCGAATGGAGACTCCGATGCCCTCGGCATGGGACCCTCCGCTGGGTACACTCTTAACTCTGTGATTACCGTACTTTGCGTACTTACTGTATCGATCAGTATGTCATACTTGCATGCTGTAGCGTTTGTTATGTCGTCACGAACCTGCTGATGTTTTATTTCTAGATTAAATTGACCATGAAAATGTCTAATTATCTAACAGTGCTCAAGTGACTTAACCGTGTTAGAGGATGTTTGGCACGGCTCCTCCGAAGAGCCGAGAGACTTCTTCGAAAGAGCCAGAGCTGTTTTGGAGGAGCCACAATTTATGGCTTCTCTAAAATGGCTCCGGCTCATCTGCTTTTTACTGAAAACAAAAACGACTCCTCTAGAAAAACGTTTAGTAGAGCTTCTCTGTAGGAGCCAGAGCCAAAGCTGAAGAAGAGCCCTACCAAACAGGCGGAGAAGCCATAACCGGAGCCGGAGAGGAGCCTACCAAATAGAGCCAGAACCGAAAGGGTCCGGAGCCGGAGAGAAGCCCTACCAAACAGGCCCTTAGTAGGTGCCTACCAAATAGAGCCCGAACCGAAGGGGCCCAAAGCCGGAGAGAATCTCTACCAAACAACCCTTAGTGGGTGTGCTCAAATAGATACTAAAATACTCTTTGTGCCCGAATGACTAAAAACGGCCGAGAGTGCTGAGTACCTAGGTGCGTTCAAGTAGAAGTTTCAAAAAAAAAGTTCCAAAAAAAGGTGTGTTCAAGTATATATCTAAATTAATGGCTAGGTGTGTTTCCAAGTACATACAAAGTATTCAAATGACTGGGGTGACGGTGTCCGAATGATTAAAAGGCGAGTGCTGAGTGCCTGCCGAGTGATATCTTAAGGGGAAAAAACTCATTATCTCATTAATAAAATAATACAAAATAATTCAGAAACTACGACATGCGTGGCTACTAGTATATTATAAATGTAAATCTGGCCAGCTGAGCGCGTTAACCTATCCACTACTTGGAAATTAGTAGAGTGCATCTGTAAAACAAATCGATGTGACAAAATTATTCAGCAAAGAGACAATACATTCACCAATGGTTTCCACAACAGACGACGAGCATACCGTTGATGCACAACACATCCAGTGCCCAGCCACACTAACAAAGCTCACACTTTCCCTTCCAGACAGACGATCACTTATTCCCCTAGCTACTTTTTCACATCTCCGAACAGGAGCGGCGATGAACAGAACAGACACCGGTACACAGCCGACCCCAGCCTAGCTAGCGCGGCACACACACGTACGGCGAACACCAGGATATGTAACACGCACTCGGGGAGAAGACGACCAAAACACGGTCACCCACGTACAGAAAACAGCTAGCGTTCCACGACGACCCTGCTGATACTGACACGCACGCACGCATCCATGGATGGCTTGCTTACGAGGAAGCCCTGCCGCCGCCGCCAGTGCCAGCACCGGTGCCTCCCCCACCGCCGCCCGAAGCGGCCTCCTGCGCCCTGCTCTGGATGGCGTGCCCTGCCTGCGCGGTCTTCTGTCCCGCGTGCGCCGCGGCCTCCGCCATCCTGCGGCGCGCTTCCTCCACGTAGTCCGGGGTGCGCTGGAACGCCTGCCGCGCCGTGTTGGCGAGGCACGTGAGCGAGGACAGGCCGCCGAGCCCGAGCGCGCCCGACGTGAGGAACCCGGTCACGGCCGTCCCGATGAGCAGCGCGGCCGGGACGAGCACGGGGCTGAAGAGCAGGAACAGGGGCGTGGCCAGCGCCAGCCCCACCACGGAGGCCGCCAGCGCCAGACCCGACAGCACCAGCAGCAGCCCGCCCAGCGGGAACAGCGTCGCCACCGTCAGCGCCTGCGACGCCGTGGGCCCCTTGTCGTGGATCATGCCCTTTACCTGCTCACCCATCGGGCGGCCGCCCCCCTGATGCTGCCCATAGATGCCGCTGCGGTCGCGATCCGCCATTGCTGCTACCGAGTCGTTTGCACGCCGCGGCCGCCGGCCGGTGGTGGAGTGTGATCGATGGATCAAGGAGCTTTGCAGGCAAAGTATAAGTGGCGAGGAGAGGAGTAGTGAAGTGGGAAGGCCTGGCCAGGCCGCCGTATATAGGTGGCGAGAGCGGTGACACGTAGGGGAGGGGAGGGGGTACGTGGCCGAGGTGGAGGCTTGCATGGAGTACACCGCTCGAGGGAGGCTGACACGGCACGCGCGGCCGGAGGCGGGAGTCCCGGGCTGTCAGATTCATGGGAGGTGTGCCGTGGGTGCGTGCCAGCGCCAAGAGTGTACATGTGTGCACATTGTGCATGGACAGCGCCAGACAGCAGGCGGTGGTCGAGTCGGCTAGCGTGGTTGGTACTTTGTCCAGTATGGGGATCCCATTCGTGTGAGTCAATTCAAATTGACTGGAGTTTGGTAGAATTCAAATAGGGAAAATTGGTTGCGTGGCATCAAAAGACTACGATATTCATAAAATACCACTGAAAGTTTATGCCATTCCGTTAAAATAAAGTCACGGAGCTATTAACTTGGACACAGATAGCCCCAATGAGAACCAAATAAACAACAGTATGTGCCCCAACATTTAAACATAAATGAACACATATATTTCAATAGCAATATAAGCATATTTACGCACATACATTTTGACACATATGAACACATTTAATATAGGGATCCCTTTAATATAAGCACACATGAACACGTACATTCACAACAGTCACTTCTCAACAACCATTTCTCAACAGAGTACTAGTTAAGACAGCAAAGGGGACAGGTCTGCTAACGCATACAGTAGTTCAACACATGCATCCATAGTCTAACTAGATCATAACAGTAGTACAACACATAGCATTTGCACTAACAAAGCCGTTGCTTAGCCTACAATAAGCCTTCTTGCAATTCCTCCTAGGGATATGTCTGTTGCTGCCCTGCTCCTTGTTGTAGGTCCTGGACTGAGAGGACTAGTGGAAGCTGACATCCTTTTTGTTGTTGGCCCTGGACTAACAGGTGGTTGTGTGACTAAGGAAGTAGAAGGTGCAGATACTTTCTTGGATTTTTTGGGAGCTTTTTTGCAACTAGATGTACTGCCCTTTTCTTTCCTTTTCCTACACATCAGGAAGATATCAACCATATTTAATAAAAGATCATGTTACAGCAAAAGTACAGGGGGCAATTTACCTTGAATTAGTAGGAACTGCCGATGGCAATTCAACAGCGAGTTCAGTAGGCGGCTCACTACAACCCTTCTCAATATACCCAAACTGAAAGCATTTTTTGCATTGGTAAGGACCCCTTTTTCCTGGCTCACTCTTACGTTTGATCCTCTTCACTCTTGACCTACCTATAGACCTTTCAAGCTTCAGAGGCACCATTACAAATTCGGGATCAACAATAGGCCACTGTGACTTGTCAACCATTGGGTTGACCCCAAACTAATAAGTAGCCTTGAAACGCTGAACTGAGTAGTAATCATGAATAAAGTCCTCAAGTTTAATTTGTCTAAGGGAACCTATAAATGCTATAACATGAGTGTAAGGTTTCTTAGAAATATTCCACTGACCACATAAACATGTCTTGCTTTCAAGGTCCACAACATGCCTCCAAGGATAGTTGTTTTTCTCATTACTTCCTACTTCATGTACCTTATTGAAATACCTCCACTCTTCATCAGCTCCAACTGGATCATCTCCCTCATGCTCAACACCAAGCTCCATATAATGGTCACCCTCCTCCTCCTCCTCTACTCTGGAAGGACCAATAGTTGTAACACTAAGTTGCGGTTGCAAGGCCCATTCTAGACTATCCAATTATACACTCACATGCATCCCCTGAAACATTTCTGTGACCTGAAGCTGTAGGTCATTCTCTTCATTTGGCACTTGGCTTTCATTCTCCATTTCAGTCACAGTATAAGCCATATCAACATGCTCACATCTATCAACAGTCATGATAAACTCCACCAATTTTGAAGCTCGCAGCAAAGTTAGAAGCTCTTGGTTAGTACCAAGGCGAACTGTTAGATTATTCTGACCCACAAACTAGAAGTTTGCTTCCTGATAACTAGCCTAACTAAAGTGCTTGAAAACATCTTTCTCCATGTCAATGATGGAGTACTCTTCTGCATCCACCCACCAATCCAAGCGTCTGCTCTTTTATACACGGATTGATCATCCTCAACAGTTGAGTAGGACGAAACATCAATCACTACTCTACATGCATTGGTCAGATCGATCCTGAAAATAGTAGCAGTGCAAACAAATTAGCACTGCTTCCAAAAGTCCTTTCTCATCACTGACCATCCTCATACCAGATCGCACACACAAATGAACCGGATATCACAAACAATCGCATGCCGCAACTAATTTCAGTTGTGCGTAGATAGCTAAGGTTTCGTTCTTACCAATCGGGAATCTCAGATTCATGCATTGCGTAGTCAAGTGTGGAGGGGAATCTGGTGGCCGGCAGAGGTGGTGAGCAGGGATGCCGGCGGCCTGGCGGAGGCGCCGCGCCGCGCAAGGGATGCCGATGACTTGGAGGAGGCACCGCGCAGGGGCGCCCGGCGGCCTGGCTGAGGTGTCGTGCACGCAGCGCGGTGGCCGACGGTGCCCAGACCCGTGCGGTGGCCAACAGAGGCAATGCCCTGACCCGTGTGCTGGAACCCTCGGCGGCGGCGGCGGAAGAAGCGAGCAAGCGTGCCAAGCTGAGAACCGAGCAAATATGTAATTTCATGTCTAGGTTTTAGCTTAGGTCAACGTTTCTGTATGCAAAATTTGGCGGAATGGTACTTCCAGTTCACGGTGGATCCTTTCGGTGCTATTTCACGGGGACGTAAACTTTCGGTGGTATTTTACGGAGATCGTGATCTTTCGATGCTACACAACTAATTTTCCCATTCAAATATGATAAAGTACTAGGTACCATACCGTGCGTTGTTACGGAGCAGCTAAACTTTTATTCTAAAAACATAAGGATCACACGATAAGATAACAATACTGTAAAATTAAATACCAACTTTAAAGTGACGTTTAAGCAAAAAACAAAGTTCGTAAAATTAACACAATCACAAAGAGTACGGCATCGTAGGCTCACAAACTCTACTGTATAGACCTTTCCGTGATGCGGCGAAGATAATGTTTTATATTAGCAAGAAAAAATCTCCGATATGATATCAATTTCTTTCGTGTGCCAATAAATCCACGAATAAGTTCCGCCACATCTCCATACCATCATGTACACAGGTTCGGGTATATATGCAAATATTAGTGCCTGTCACATGGGTAATATTGTGTGTCTTGAAAAATCTCAAACAAAACCTTAAAACAAAGTATGTTATACTCACGGTATAATATGTGTGGCTTGAGGACTATTATCTAAGTAGATCTTCATGGTACCCAAGTTATTATAATACTCTCATGGATATAATTCAAATACAATCAGAAAGTTCATTTAACTTTAATTATTAGAACATCCATTCAATAATACATGCACAAGCAATTTGGGGAGTAAAATAGAATTGAAAGAAAATTAATTGTAAAAGACATCATCAATCAGTATGCGGGTCAACGGCTTGGTGGGAAGACACGAGCACCTCAGCTTGGTGGGGAGACACGATACACTAAAGAAGCCTTGCTCCTTGCTTTAACTGTTAGCTCTACACAAGAACTTGTTGAAGCCTCGCCTTGCTGCTTGATTTAATGGTTAGCTTTGCACAAGAATTCCTTGCTTTAACCGTTATCTCTGCTTGCTCTTTGCTTTCATGGTTAGCTCTGCACAAGAATTTGTTGCTTTAATTGTTAGCTCTTATCAAGAATTTGTAAATCATTGAACCAAGCATGTAGTCCTGAATAACCTTAGCTATGCATCTGCTGAACGAACAAAAAAAATCAGAAGATCAAAGAAACTATCATTTTAGTCCTCGCTGTCTAATTACATGAGTAATCAATAATTGCGGTTATAAATAGCATCAGCCTGTCTGGTAGCAGCCTGATTTGAAACGCGGCATAGAAATTTCGTTCACTTGAATTGTTTTGCAAGCTTACTAAAATGAGTTTACCATTTGCACAACACTTCCAATAGCAACCAGAGTTTATCAATAAACCTATTCCAATCATTGATTCTTCGGCTCTCTAATATGCATGAAAATTTGAGACGTTTATTATGGACTGTTTGCAAGGCCCTTTTATTCTTGAAACCATGACACATGGTGGAAGCAGGTAGAGATGCCAATGAGTTTACCATTTGCACAACACTTCCAATAGCAACCAGAGTTTATCAGTAAACCTATTCCAATCATTGATTCTTCGGCTCTCTAATATGCATGAAAATTTGAGACGTTTATGGACTGTTTGACTGTTTGCAAGGCCCTTTTATTCTTGAAACCATGACACATGGTGGAAGCAGGTAGAGATGCCTAGTACCATAAACAGACTTAACAGCAGCACTGAAATAACCTCCGTCAGTCTGATGCCTTACCCATGTTAGCCCAATGAAACCAGGCCTGAGTCTTGACATCAATCTAACCATAACCCCCACAGAAAATTAGATTAGGCATCAATTCAACATGGATCAAAATGTGCTCTTTACCCATAACATAATGTACAAAATGATAATATGGACTTGCTGCACGACATTAATTGGCCAAGCAAATAGACATTGTTTTTTTATGAACGTCTGGCTAAGTCCCATGCCACGTATTACCTTTTTTACCCAGAAAATTAATTGCACAACTTATTTCAACGCAAATGCTATCCTTTGCCAACTGAAGACAATCGCACCTCACACATTGGCATTTTGTCGAATACCTCGTGAGCGTGGAGATTTCCACAAATGCAAGCAACTTACCTTAATGTAGACCTCACCCATATGGTCCTACATGCGTACTTTGTATCTCAAGATGAGGAGAGGTGATGCTGGTAAGGAAACAAACGTAGGCACATTGGATCAAATTTTGTGTGTCTCCGACAGCATCAGGATGGCCTCGTCACCATGCTCCAGGTCCAGCAGCGTCATGATGTCCACCATGGCCACCGAAGCAGCCGCATCGTACGCATTGGAACATGGTCGGCGTGTGAGAACTGGTAGGGCCCATGTCCACGCTGAAGTCGCCCCTCGCCGGATCCGCTTGGCCTGCCTCTATGCCATTGCCAGCGAGATCCAGCAGCAGTAGGTGCAATCCCAGTCATAGGGAAGATGGGGGCGTGGTCAGTTGAGGTTAGATCGGGGGAGGGGTGACGGAGGCAAGGTCGGGTTCGGGCATCAGGGATTGAGGGGGGCGAGCACGGATGCTTCTTCTTCACAAAAAGACATTAGACAAAGGAAGGGAGAGAAGAGATGGAAGGTACCTTGAACGCCCCGTCGGCGGCAGCAGCGGAAGCGTCCAGCGGCGGCGTCCGAGTTCGTGGAGGCGGCAGAGCGTCCGGCGGCATCAGCGTGGGCGGCAGCCAGTCCGACGGCGGCGGCGCGTCCGGGTTGACGCAGGCAGTTTTTTCCCGGTAAAGGACGTGTATGCTGCGGTTTTTTTATGCCTCAACACAGCATGTACATGTTGTACTATCTGAACTCGTGAACTCACGCACTAATTCACAATGTCACGCACACGCACACACGTCTAATGCGCAAGCGCAAGACCTACGCGGCTACGCCTATACTACGAGACTGAGGGTGAGGAGATTTAGGAAGGTGGAAGAGGTGCTGTGATTTCGGGATAGCCGGGCGGGATTTTTATCTCGGGCGAGGTTTGACCGCGACCGGATGGAAACGTATCTGCGAGAGGCTTCACCATGGTCGGACATGGGAGCGTGATCGGCGTGATCGCACAGGCGTGCTTTCCTTGGACGTCGATCGCACGGCACCGGTAGCTTTCCCGTGGGATCGCACGGGCTGACAAAGAAGGTGAAGCGAAATTTTATCGCACCAAAACAGTATCTCCTTTACTTAGGAGAGAAATGAGCAGTACATACACAATGCATTAGCATCGCCACCCTTTCAGACTTGCTTGCTATTTTTCTAAATACAGCAAGACTACATGTCTAGATTGGCTCTCTGTTTTTCAGCACACTCCAATAACTTCTTTATTTAGCTTGATATTTCGATAATTTCAGATGTTCGTTCCGTCCGGACGGACCCATCCACGGAACGACCCAGAACGACTCGTCTTCGTCCACTCCCGCTTCGCTTCCCTCATCCTCATTCTCACTCTGCGCCTCCGCCTCTGCGCGTCCACTCTGCAGCTCACTCCCTCATCCCCAGGGGCGGATCTGCCACCGGGGGCTCAAGCCCCCCTACCGTGGCTGAGCTTGTGGAGCCCCCCCTAAATTTTTCTGTCAGTGGAGAATGGAAAGGAGGAGCTTGAGCGTTGAGCTGAGGTTGAAGACGATGCTAGAGCGTTGAGCTGGGCTTGATGCCTTCGTCCCCGTGTGAACTTAAGCCTCTCCTAGATTTCCGTCATAGATCCGCCACTACTCATCCCCACCCCGGCTCACTGCCGCCCCGTCCGCCCGCGCTCTCACCCTCCGTGACCTCCATTGCTACCCCATGCTCCCCTACGACCCGGCTCCCGCTATCCCCATCGGAGACGAGTACGACGACAGTGGCTCCGACGAGGTAGGTCGGTCCTTCTCTAGATCCAAGCCCTCTTTCTCATCTAGATCTTAGCCCTCCTCCTCCTCTGGATGTGAGGGACGCGGCGGTGGCTAGGCGAAAGTTCTAGTTTGGTTTTGGTGAATTGATGATATCCTAAGTGCACATTCCAAGTGGTGAAGCAAATGAAGATCATGACATGATGATGGTGATGCCATGGTGATGATCAAGTGCTTGGACCCAAGCAAGTTTTGGTACATAAAAAGAATTGATCTTCTTTTGTAGATCAATTACAAAGCCGAAGGAAGGCAT